AGTCTATTGTAATTTGTTGTCTTGCTATTGTAGTTTGCTTATGTTTATGTTTCCTTATGTTTCAATAAAATGCTTTTTTTTTCTTCTTGTCTATTTAATGTTGTTTTTTAATTAATAAAAAAAATGCCATGCAATTTTGCTTATAATAAATATTATTTGACATCATAAAAAAGGGGGAGATTGTTGCAATCCCTGACCCCTAGTTTGAGATTTTGATGATGACAAATACTATTGCCTGAACTACTACTCATTAAATATCTTTAATTTCTGTTATTGTCTATGAGTACTAACATTTCAGGAAGATCACAAGTTACTCAGGACAAAAAGAAGACACAAGACTGAGTATTTTTTCATTTATTTTATTTTTTGTTTTCTTAAGTATGGCCACAAACTACATGTAAATTTGAGCAACCATGCACACACACAATGGGAGAGGGTTTTAAAAGAAAAATATAGATTTTTCTCTATTAATCGTACTGCACAAATTTATGTCGTATTATACGATCTGATCTGATTAGAACGTCTTTCTGTGAACAGGTCATAATATATGATTTGTATCGTACTGTACGATGTGTTACTAATCCAAAACCCTAGCCACCAAATTAGTTTAAGTAAGTTTTATCAGTCGTTCGTACTATATGAAGAAATTCATATTGTATAATTTATTTTAAATACTTACTTAAATTAACCCGTGATTAGTAGAATAAATCAAGGATTAATCTCTGATTGGTAATCATATAGTATGAGCCCGTTCATATTATACGATGAACCAAGACTATTTTTGATCATCCTGGAGTTTATCTTGGATGATCACTTGATTTTTGCCTAATCGTATTGTACGAAGTGTATCATACCATACGATGTACAGAGATGAGTTTTGATCATCTCGGACTTCATCCTGGACGATACCTTGAATTTGACTATTCGTATTGTATGAAGTAGGTCGTAAACGATGATGTATAGAGATGAGTTTTGATCGTCCTGGCTATCATCCTGTACGAACAGAAGAGTTGAGGATCGTACGGTACAAGTTTATATCGTATTGTATGATTATATTCAAAAGTTTTTGAACTATTCATAAACCTTTGTACTAGGATGAAGCTCATTTATACGAATTATACTGTACTATGTGGAATAGTACTGTATGATAGTAACGGCTAATTTGAAATTTTTCAAGGTTTTTGGAGCCCGTTTTAAGTATCAAAAAGTAATGTTTTTAATGTGTAACTAAGAGAGAGGAATGTGAGTAGAGAGGGATTCCTTGGGAGAGAGCTCTTGAGAAGATTTAGGGTTTGAGAGAGGAAGAAGAATGTGAGCTTGGTGAGGGAGAAGTAGTGTGAGGAAGATCACACAATTGCTCCATTCTTGCTGCACTTTATTCATCCTATGGCCCGTGAAGATCTTGTGGAAGGCTCTCTGAGGGGGAGACTCCTCTATGTCCATGTTCTCTAAGGTTCTCTGCCTTCTCCAGGAGGGAGAAAAATGAGAAGGTACGCTACCGTTGCCAGGAGGGTGAGAAAAACATTTGGCATTCTGCCACACTGGGTTGGTGAAAGTGACTCTTGTGAGGGCTTCTCCGTCTTGCTGAGGGGAAACAAGGAGAAATATAGTTTTGTAGTGAAATTCTCGGAGTGGAGGTCTCCAAGGAGTGGATGTAGGTCAAGTGACCGAACCACTATAAATCTCTGGTGTGATCTTTCCCTTACTGCTTTTTACTTTTGCTTGCATTTGATTTTCATTATAACTACTTGGTGAAATTCTCTGTGGAATTTATTGTTGCTATTTGTGTTCAAGAATTCGCTTTTGCATTAGTTAAATTTTTTTCAAAAAATTTTAAAACATTAAAAACTTTTAGAACTCATGTTTAGGATTTTTTTATTGTAACAAGATTTTTGCAATTCATTTCCCCTCTTGGCGAATCTAGTAATTTCACTTACCACTGAATGAGAATAAGTAAAAAAAAAAAGTTCTTATAATTTTGATAAAATATTTTTTCTGATGAAACTCTTAATTACATATGTGGATCAGAGCATGTGCATCCCTAGATCTCTATCGAGGTTCTAGGGGAAAAAATAAAGATTGTTAGTTTTCATGTAATTTTATTATCTCTATAGATCCTAAAATATTCAAACATCCTATGTATAGGCATGTCAATATTTCATTTCAGTATTCCTAATTATTCTTGCATTTCTCCTACAAGGATATGTATCTCACTAGGCTTTAACTACAAATAAAGCCCTTACATGCATCAAATGAATAATAAGAGATATTGAAAACATAATTATTTTCATTAAAAAATAAGAGTCTATATTAGTACTTAATATGCTCTTTACATCATCAGCCCCAAAAAGAAGATCTAGCCATACATGGAATAAATAATAAGTAAATTCATATTCATTTTATTCATAGAAGAATAAAGTACAAGAGAAGTATTAAGAAGTGTATCACCAAAGTCGATCTAAGTATCTTCTCTACACTCCTTCATCCACTTATAGAGTTTCTTATACGAACATAGGCTAATCCCTCTAAAATATTGTATCTTACACTTCCTTAACCTCCCTTAAACTATATGCTAAGGGGGGGTCTAAAGAAATACATTAAAATTTTACTTAACTATACTCAAGGAACTGAAATCTATAAATATTAAAATTGACATATTTATAATAAATATACTATTAAACTTGAGCACTGTGGTGCAAGACATGGTGGCTCTACGGAGGTGAAAAGTAAACTAGCACCTTGGCGCTTGAGTGTCGGCTCTGATATATTGTTGAGTGATATGTCATAGTTACAGTCCAAATTGGTGCACCTCTTCATTGAGCTAGTGGTCACTTTGTAGTTATAACTGCTCCATTACAATGCTGTTAAATTTAAGCATTGTGGTGCTTAGAACAACTTTTTTGCATAGTGGCATTGGAAAGGTAGGCACTCCTGCATGAATTTTCCTGAGATACCCAATGCTGCAATGGTAATTTTAGGGGTAGAAGCACTGTAATGCACTGTGGCACTGATGTTTGTGATATTGAAGTGGTTGAAAATAGAGAAGTTAGGCACCATCATGTTTAAATTGGTGCTTCAATATTAATAAATAAGGTGCCATGGCATGAACCTTATCGACATTACGACACTGCCCAAAACTTGTAAATTTGTTTTTTTTGCTGCACAATTCCTATATAAACAAAACTAAAATAATATATTTTTACGACATTTTATAAAAAAAAATAATATACAATTTATACTTATCAAATTTTCCTTAGCTTTAACTCACGCTTGTACTCAATCAACATTTACATTCACTTCTTAGTCATCTTAATAGCCAAAGTACAAATTGATCTTTTAAAGCTACTTAAATATAGGATAATGCTGAACTATCAAGAAGTAATTTGAAATAAACAAGTTATAATTTAAATTTGAAAAGATATAACATTTATCCCAGTCAATCATTCTTGCTGTTGTTTATTTTCAAATTTATCCATTATTTTTAAAAATATAAAATTGACTTCTTAAGATAGATGTAGTATAGGGATTATATACTCATAGTTTAAAAAAGAGAATTTATAAGTGTACTATTACATGTACTATAATACTTATTTTATTCTTTTTAGTTGAATAGTAAGATGCAGTTGAAATCAAGCTAGAACTGATACCAATTTGTGAATGTACTCTTTTTTCATTATGAATAGTTTCTATTTTGCTTTGCTTTTTTTTTTTTCTTGCCTTCTTAATTTGTGAAGTACATACTTAATTTTTTTGAATATCAATTTATGATATTCTTCTCTTACAATCCTTTTAATTAATATAAGAATTTAATAAATTCTCTAGTTACATTTTCAAGTTTAACTATAATTTTCTTGATTTAAGCTACTTATATCTAACTTTAAATTTACTTATTCATTTTAATTCAGTTGTTAATATAAGTTATTGTATAGTTTCTAAATTAAAAATTAAGTCAATAACTTAAATGATCTTTATTAGTTAGATGTTAGGTATTTCAAAGTAGGAATTATTATGCAATGTTCATTCAAACTATAATCTAGGATATTATTATTATCATACTTTTACATAATTTTTAATTACAATTTTAATGTTGGCTGAATAGGAAATCAAGTGCAATAACTATAGAGAATAATATGCACTAATTTAAACATAAAAAATTAAGAAGATATAAAATAAGTATTAAATAAACACATGGTACTAACTACAACAAAATAATAATTAATATAAGTGGGTTGCCTCCCATCAACCTTAAATTTATAGTTTTTAGCTAGAATTCTCTATATTTATCAATTTGGTTGGGGCACATCACTACCACTCCTAAAGTATTTTCACTAGGTTATTATCTTTATTTTTGGGGTTAACTAGTATTACTCAAGAGAGACCTAAGAGGTCTACTGCTGAAAAAATTGCAAGCTGTCCCAATTAAGTTTTTAAAATTTTAATTGAAGAAGCTTGATTTCACAATTGAGTTTCTAATTGAATCACTACCTCTTCTAAGGGTGACTTTATATTCATGTACTGGTTATTTTGGTTAAATCTGGATGATAAGATGGTTTAGGATTCATAATAGGTTGTTGACAATTATTTTAATTTCCTCCTTTATTAGATTTTCCTAAATTCCACTGATTATTTTCACCAACATTATTTGTCCAACTAGAATTAGGATAATTTCTCCAATCGAGCTATATGTATAAATAAGCCTTTCAAATTCTATAGATGGGCCAAATCTTGAGTAAACTCCAGTAGTATCTAATAAATTTTAAATAGTAGCTTCCTAAGTAGTAAGAATTGACAAAACATTAGATTCATAAACTCCATCTACTCTTTTAGAATTTACCCTATCAATAAGCAAATGGAAATTATTAGTAGCCATTTCTTTAATAAATTCATAAGCATTCTTAAATGGCCTAAACATCAAAGATCCTACAACTATATCATTTATGATTGACCTGAGAGATCTTATTAATCTATTATAATAGGTTTGAATAACTAATCGATTAGGTAAAGCATTGTGAGGGCATTTCCTAAGTATCTCCTTAAATCTCTCCTCACTTTCATAAATAGATTCTCCTTTAAACTGGGCAAAAGAAGTGACATCATTTTTAAGTTTAATAGTCTTTAAAGGTGGGAAATACTTTGTTATGAATTTATATGCTAATTCATTCCAAGTGGTTATAGAGCCCTGGGGGCAAAGAATTTAATCACATTTTAGCGTTAACCCTAGAGAAAATAGGACCAATCTAATTCTGATGGTATCATTATTAAAATTATTATACTTAAAAGTTGTACATATTTCTAAGAAATAGGAAAAATATAAGTTATGATCTTTAACAAGAGTTCCTCCAAACTAGGACTTTTTAACCATTTGGATAATATTCTATTTCAAATCAAAATGATTAGCCTAGATAATAGGTCTACCAATACTCTGATGGATTCCTTCTACAATAGGGTTAGCGTACTCTTTAAGTGGTCTAACATGATCTTGATATTGGACTAGTTCAAGCATTGTTAATATTTTTTAATTAATTTTGTAAGGGTTGTTTCTATTTCTAGATCAAATAATAAAGGTGCCTTGCTAGATATGCCAAGAATTCAATATGATAGAATAACAAAAAATAAAAACAAAATAGTTAAAAGAAAATATTTTCAATTTTTTTAAAAATTTTTAATAAGTAGAATAAAGATAGAGGATACAAGTAGGTCTAAATGTGCACATATTTTAACAATAAAATAACTTGCAATAAGCACAATACTTCCTAGAAACGACACCAAAAACTTGGTGGGAGCATATGATGCGATAAGATAATGGTGAGCTAATGTTAAACAGACTGAATTTGAAATATACTTAGATTTCTTTTATATTAAATTTAAAATAGCCCACTAATTTACACAAGTATATGTGTTGAATTAAGTAATAAACTGAAAGAGTAGAGTGTTTAACCCACGAGGAAGTGATATACTATACTACAACAAAACTATTACTGCTTACTCTAAATGCATGAATTTATCATACTAAAATAAAAAATAAAGTATTTTGATTTCCTACCACTGAATGAAAATAAGTAAAAAACTAGTTGATATAATTTTGATAAATTATTTTGGACTGATACTTGTAAATAACATATTTTTACTAATGAGACTCTTAATTGTAGTTGTGGAAAATATGTGCATCCCTAGATCTCTGACGAGCATATATGGGTGAAAAGAAAGATTGTTAGTCTTCCTACAATTTTACTATCTCCATAGAACCTAAAATATTCAAATATCTTATGTAAAGGCATGTGAATATTCTAATTTAATATTCTTAATTATTCTTGCATTCCTCTATTGAGGCTATACATCACATTAAGTTTTAACTACATATATGGTATTTTAATTTGTTGATAGCGAATACTTCTATTTCTCTACGATTGCCTTGCCAACTAACATTTTAGATCCACAAGATCAAACTGCAATTTGAACCAGCTTAAGATTGGGTAGACTAGGTCTGAGTCAATTTGTAAACTTTTATTCTTTCTTGAGTCTATTATAAATGATGTGGTTCCTAATGCTAAGTAACCTTGCACACACACACACATGGGGGAAAATTTCTATCTGATTTTAGAGTTCTCTATTTTTGGTTACATCATCCGGGATGATCCACAAATCATCCTAGACGATCAGTTAAAAACAAAAATCCTAATTATGGCATCCTAGTTATGGAAACCATCATTAAGCGCATCATCCTGGATGATATTAGTATCAACTGGGATGATATACTCAAATAAAAGAAAATCAGCTGCCAGATCTATTTAGGTATTATTTATTTTTGGACATTATCCAGGATATCAACCTGGATGATGAAACATAATTATGCCTAAATTAATCTGATTAGTAAGAAAAGTAATTAAGGTTTGATTGCTCTATCAAATCATCCTGGATGATCGTAGGATCTTTCGAAGACAATCAATTCAAAAAACCTTAGTTGTTCCTGAATGATCAACATTAGCCACCATCTATTCAGGGTGATGGTCTGGACGATTTTCATGGATTTGAACTAATCGTCCAGGACGATCAAGCTATTTTTTTCATCATCCAAATGTCCACTCAGTGCGCTTGTCTAGACGATATTTAACGACTTGTACTAATCATATAGGATGATATCTTATCATCCTGAATGATATGAATAAAAACTTTCTAATCATCATAAACCATCCGGGTTAATTGAGAGAATTTTATGCTGATAGGCCAAGCTGATATTTATATCGTCCTGGACAATAAAGTCGGTTTGTTTAAATTAAGAGCTATTCTGAAACTCTTCTATTTAATCTTGTACTACCCAAGAGATCATCTTTTGGTATTTTCTTGACTTCAGAGAGCCTAGAGGAGAGGGAGAGAAAGGAAGAGAGAGAGAGAGAGAGAGAGAGAGAGAGAGAGAGAGAGAGAAACTTGTGAGGGGGAGTTTGTGAGGGGTTTCACAAAGGTTGCTCCAAGCAAGGATCCAAATCATCTTCTTTGATCATCATCCCTTATTCTTGGAGGTTCGAGAGAGGTCCACTTCATCAATAAATCAAGGTTCTCTGCCTGCTTCAGGAGGAAGCAAAAGGAGTTGAGTTCTCAGCCTCACTGGTGTTGGTGGAAAGGAGGTTTTGTACATGCTTCTCCGCCTTACAATGGGAATAAAAGGATATTCACTGAGTTTAGTGCAATACTTGGAGGGCACCTCCGGGGAGTGGACATATGTCGGGTTGACCAAACCACTATAAATTTCTATGTTCTTTACTGTTGCTTTTTTCGTATTTAATTTTCGCACGTTAAATTTCTTTGTGATGAATTTTGGTTTGGTTGATTTTTTTTTTTTTTTTTTGATTGAAAGATTTTTTAAAATACATATTCACCCCCGCCCCCCTTCTTGGTTAGCTTAGGCTAGTTCATAAGAGCTTAACATCTGTAATGAACTTACAAGTGGTATCAGAGCGGGATTCATAAAATTGAGTTTTTAAAAATTTTTGAATTTTGATCCATGCTAACTCTGGTAATTGTAATACTATGGAAGGGTATTCTATTACCCGACGACCTTTAATTGACATTATTCCTTTTGATTTTTGAAAAACTTGCATGTCTACTTTTTTATAATCGATTGACTATCACATGTGGATGCTTGTTAAGGAAGGTTATACACCTCCTCGTAAAATTAATGACATTAAAATTGAACTTCCTTTTACTGAATGGACTTTTGATGAAAGAGATTTGGCAAAACTTAATGTGAAATGTTTGAATTATTTTTTCCGTGCTTTGAAATCTGAAGATTATTTATGTGTTTCAACTTGTGCAACTGGTAAAAAATTTTGGGAAAGATTGTGTATTATTATGAAGGAACCATTGAAGTTAAACAATCTAGATTAAATATGTTGTTTCATGACTATAAAATTTTTTGTATGAAACATTCTTAATCAATTTCTGACATGTATACAAGGTTTACTCATATTGTCACCTTATTGCATGCTTTAGAAAGAGAGCTAACTAACTATGAAATAGTAAATAAAATTTTGAGATGCTTTTCTTCTTATTTTGATGTTAAGATCACTAAAATTGCTGAATCTAAAGATTTAAATACTTATTCTATTTTTAATTTACTTGGATCACACATTTCTTATAAGCAAGGGGTGAATCAAAGAAATCTTGATACAAGTGAGAAAAGGAAGGAGAAAACTATGGCTCTGAAGGCAAACAACAAGGACATTGATTCTTCCAGGTATAAAAATGATGATGTTTCCATCATCACGAGGTAATTCAAGAGCTTTCTAAAGAAGAACCATAAGAACCATCAGAAGTGGAATAAAGGTAAGGGTAGCAAAAAAATTAAGAATTCTAATGATATGATCTGCTTTGAATGCAGGAAGCCAGGTCACATTAAAGGTTATTATCTTACACTTAAATCTAACTCAAGCAAGGAGAAGGGTGAGGAGAAACCCAAGTTCAAAAAGGACAAGAAGAGGTTCCAAAAGGCATTCTAGGCAGATTCAGCTTCGGACTCGTCTGAGACTGAAGCTGAAGAGGAGACTACAAAATTGTGCTTGATGGGGGACGATCATCTTAGTCACTTTGACTAAGAAGAGGTATGTGAACTGACCTACGAACAATTACTTGAAGTTTCAGAACAAATTCATTCATCATATAGGAAACTTAAGAAATCACATTCTAGTTTAAAATTGGATTTTTAAAATTTATAAAAGGAGCATGAAATTTTACTTACAGATTATTCTATAATAAATAGAAATCTCATATCATTACTTGATGAGTTTGATGCATTAAACAAAAAGTATACTGAATTATTTGATGCACATGATTCCTTGAAGTCATCTCATGTTGAGTAAAAAAAAGAGTTTAAGAAATTAAAAAATCTCAAAGCTTTTGAAAATAACAAACCAACATTACATGTATCACATAACTTTAGAAGAAATCATTATTACCTAAATAGATTAATAAATCCTTTTCCTGGAATTTGATATTTTTCATATAGTATATTAGGACATATTTCACACACTTGTACTATTCACTGTAGTACACATTAGGTGTGGAGACCCAAATTACATGATTCACATCATAACATACATGCATTACATTCTACTTTCCATAAGAGGGACCCAAACATGTTTGGGTTCCTAAATCTGACGTTTGATGATTTTGTAGGCTTGTTTTCATAAAAAGCCTTGTGAGAGCATGTGGTACTTAGATAGCGGATGCTCACGACACATGACTGGGGATGCTAATCAATTCATTTTGTTTGAGGTCAGGGCTGGAGGCAAGGTTACTCTTGGAGACAACACCACCAAGAAAGTAGTGGGTGTAGGTATAATCAGAAACTCCAATAACTTTTTTATTGAAAATGTTTTTCTTATAGATGGACTGAAACACAACTTGCTCAACATCAGTCAACTTTGCGATAAAGGCTTCATCATAAAATTCTTTATAAATAATTGCATTATAAGCTTAAATAACAACATTATTTAACAGGGAAAGCGGGTCAATAATGTTTACATGTTTGACTTAAATAATATTAAAAGTACTACTTCATTTTGCTTAAAAATTGCTGCTAATGATTCATGGTTGGGGTACAGGAGATTATGT